GTCTGTTTGGGTTTGTGACTATGTTTTATGTAGATCCTCTACACCTCTCAATCTCTAGTGCAGGACAGTATTAAAAACTGTTTCTGACAAATAGGATCAGGCAGAGACTCAAAGCCTCCAGAGACCACCTCTGTCTACAGACTAATAGGGTTCGACTTGAATTGCCCGCAGGCAATCATCCTCAGGTGTATCAAGAGTTTTTTCAACAGAGTAGGGTGGTTGCTTCTGCCTGGAGGCTAATTGTTACTTTTAATCTCTTAAGTGGCCTCAGGGCAAGGTGTTTTCCGACAGGCTGTGTCTACTGTCTATGCGGGAAAGATGTCCTCCACTGTGTGAGGGAATGACTCAGCCCAGGCAACTTGTGGTGCCTGCCTTCTGAGCTTTATCACTCTGAGTCCCCAGTCCTGGATTCTGCTCTCACAGCTTTAGTCCACTTCACCTTCCCTCTGCCAGAGCACAAGGTGGGTGGCTCCACAGGGAATTTTTGTGTGTTGGCCCTTCAAGAGGGTGCCTGAACTTTCAGCTGCCACACCCTGGCAGACAGCACCCCACTGCTTTTCACAGCTAGATGTTATGTTGGTACACTCCTCAGATTTGGTGCTCTCTGCTGGGGAGCCCAGCTTGGGGATTAGATCCCAGAGTTCTCAGTGGCACCCCTCCCCCCAGCTGAGATATCTCTCCGGACTTCAGTTGCTGTCTGTGGTTGCCCAGCCAGCCCTTTTGAGCCTCTGCCCCTCCTGCCAGTCTCTATGCATCTCCACCTTCGGTCTTTGGATATCAGGATCCTCTCCTGTGAGTTTTCCATTGATTATTCAGGAAGCCTTTCCATATTTCAGTTGTAATTCCAGCTGGTTCCCGGGAGCATGACGTGCATCATCTACCTACTCTGCTGCCATTTTTAATGTTCCCACCAAGTCCCCTTTGTCATTCTCTTATATGGGAGACCTGGACACTACATGAGATATGTTTTGGGTGCCTGGCTCTTCTTCACATACTTCTCAAAGACTCTCCCAAATACAGCTCTCACTGATGAAGTTGGAATGGCCCCATTAATCTTGCCTCCTTTTCTTTTAGCTGATTGGACCAGAGATAAACACTTGACCAAAGGATGGCCAACCAGATTCTTTTCCTTAGAATTTTTCTTTCTCTAAAAGATACAGAAAGAAGTCCCAATTGGCTGTGGTGAGCCATGCTGAATGGTCACTCTGGCTATGGCTGCCAATCTAGGTCATGTGCAAGTGCACAGACAGAGAGAAATGCTGGTCTGGGGAGAGCAGGAGAACAGAGCGATCCATAAAGAGGGCCCCATGGCCTTGAGAATAGGAGAAAGTGGCTCTGGTTCCTGTAAAGCTGGGCTTCTTTTATACTTGGGTTCTGTGGGATTTCAGCATCCTTCACTTGAACAAATTTGAGTAAGTTTCTGATCTCTGTTATCAAAAGCAATTGACCAGTGATTGAGACAAGGATATCTACTCTCGTCACTTCTATCCAACATTGTAATAGAAGTCCTCACCAGTTTAATAAAACAAGAAAAAAAAATTACAAGGCATGAAGATTAGAAAGGACTAAAACTGTCTTTATTCACAGATGGCAGGATTGTTTGTGTGCTTAGTAAATCTAAAGGAATAAACAAACAATTAGAACTAATAAATGAACATCAAGATCAAAGGATACTAGGTGGCCATGCTAAAAGTAATTGTTTTTAAGCATCCTACTTATAAACAGTTGAAAATGAAATGAATAAACATCGACTTTAAAATAGGAACAAAAGCATTAGATACTTATGAACAAATGTAATTAGAATATGTGTAAATCCTCTATACTAAAAACAACAAATCATTGCTGGATTAATTTAAATGGAAAGCTAGGATATGTTCATAGATTGAACAATTTAAGGTGCCAATATTCAGATGTCGTTGATCTCCAAATTTATCTCTAGTGACAATGTAATCTTAACCAAAATCCTAACAGACTTTCTTTGGACATTGACGAGCTGATTCTAAAATTTATATAGAAATGCAAAAGACTTCAAATAGCCAACACAATCTTAAAAAAGAACAAAGTAGGAGGGTTTCACTAGCAGATTTTAAGAGTTAGCATAAAGCTACAGTTATTCAAGGCAGTGTGAAATAGGCATAAGTAAAAACAATTAGATCAATGAAACAGAATAGAAGTCTGAAAGACCCACATGTCTGCATCAGTGGATTTTTGAAAAATAGTACCAATGCAATTTATTGGGAGGCATGGGAACTCTTTTTAATAAATGACATTAGAGCAAATCTTATGCATGTGAACCACAGACCTAAAAGGGAAAGCTAAAGTATAAACTTCTATGAGAAAAGCATAGGAGAATATTTTTATAACCTTGAAATAATCATATATTTCTTTTTAAAATAAAAATTTTTAAATATATATTTTTATTGATTTCAGAGAGTAAGGGAGAGGGAGAGTGAGCTAGAAACAGCAATGATGAGAGAGAATCATTGATCGGCTGCCTCCTACATGCCCCCTACTGGGGATCGAGCCTGCAATCCAGGCATGTGGCCTTGACCGGAATCGAACCCGGGACCCTACAGTCCGCAAGCTGACACTCTATCCACTGAGCCAAACCAGCTAGGGCCATATATTTCTTAGATAGGTTGGAAAAGAACAAATAATAAAAGGAAAACATTGATAAATTAGTCTTCAACAAAATTTTAAAAATTCTGCTCATTAAAAGATACAAAAGTTAAGAAATAATCTACAGATTGATAGAGGCATTTGCTATATATATATCTGACCAAGAACTTATATTCAAGATATATAAGAAATATTGCAAATTAAAATAAAGAAACAATAGGCAAAAGACTTAAATGGGAACTTCACAAAAGAAGATGAATGGCCAATAAACATATGAAATGGTGCTCAAAATCACTAGTCATCAAGGAAACACAAATTAAAGCCACCGTGACACACAATATCCTAGAATGGATATAGGTACAAACACTAATAATCCCAAACACTGGTCAGGATCTGTAGCAACTGGAACCTTGATACCTTGCTGGTAGGAGTGTGAAATAGTACAACTATTTTGAGAAATTATTTGCCTGTCTCTAGTAAAGTTAAATATACACCTGTTGTAAGACCCAGAGCTTCCACTCCTGTGTACAAACCCAGAGAAATGAGTGCATATATTCATAGAAAGACTCATCTAAATACGTTCATGGCAACTTTATTTATAATAGTCAAAAACTGAAGACCACCCAAATATGTATCAACAGAAGGGTGGATAAGCACATTATGATAATACTTCTCAGCAATAAAAAGAACACACATCCATTAATGAATCTCAAAAATATTGTGTTGAGTAAATAAGTCAGACACAATAGAGTTCATACTGTATGGTCCCATTTATATGAAATTCAAGACCTAGCAAGATTAATTTAATGGTGATAAAAGTCAGGAGATGGTTATGTCTGAGAGGGTAGGATATTGCCTGGAAAAAGGCGTTAGGGAGCCTCAGGGTACAATAGAAGTGTTCTATGTCTTGGTCTGGTTGATAGTCAGTGGGTGTATATGTATCTAAAAATTAATTGCTAGAGACAAATTGTGCCCCGCCCCTCTCAAATTCAAACCCTCAGTGCGACGATAATTAGGTTTAGATGAGGTCATGAGGGTGGGACCCACATAAAGAAAAAAAGAGCTTTTTTCTTTCTCTGTCTGCTATGTGAAGACATAGTGAGAAGACGGCCATCTGCAAGCCAAAAAGAGAGCCCTCCCAAACACTACCATGGTAACACCCTGATTGCTGCCGCCTCCCCTGTAGTCTTCTTTCTTTCTTACTATGGAACCAATGTATTAGGGGGACAGAAACAGACCTGGTTTACACAATGCATACATTTCCTAGCTTCCCTTGCAGGTGTAGGTGGCCACCATGTGACCCACTTTTGGCCAATGAGATATAAGCACCAATTGCTGGGTGGACTTCAGGGAAGCTCCTTGAAAGGTCAGACTAGGCTGGCAAATGTCCTCTCTCCTTCTCCCCCCACCTCCCTGGCTTTCCTTTGCTCCTCCACCTGAACTGTGGCTGTGATGGCTGGAACTCTGGCAGCCATCTTGTCAGATTTCCGAGTAGAAGCTAGAACAGTGATGGTGAACCTTTTGAGCTCGGCGTGTCAGCATTTTGAAAAACCTTAACTCTGGTGCCGTATCACATATAGAAATTTTTTGATATTTGCAACCATAGTAAAACAAAGACTTAATATTTTTGATATTTATTTTATATATTTAAATGCCATTTAACAAAGAAAAATCAACCAAAAAAATGAGTGTCATAGGTTCGCCATCACTGAACTAGAAGGAGCCTCGGTCCCTGAAGGCATGAAAGAGCTGTCACAACCCTCCAGACTTCTTCACCCAAGAGCCAAATAGGCCTGTGTCTTGTGTTATTGGGTCTGTTGTTGTTGTTGTTGTTGTTACAAGCAGCTAAATTCATTCCTAACCAATACAATACCCAAATGTCCAACAACAGGAGCATGGTTAATAAATCACAATCCAATCATACTGTAGATTATTTTATAGCCACTACACTATTATGTAGAAAAATATGTAGTAACATGGAGAGGTGTTTGTGACATACCATTAAGTAATTTGCAAGACTGGCTGTATAGTAAGATCCTGTCTTATGAGGATAAAATATGTATAAGGAATATAGAAAACAAGACTTGAAGCCAGTACAATAGATTAAAACCTCTCTCAGTGGTGGTGATATAGTGATTTTTCTTTTTTTTCCCTGCTTCTCAATGTATGTAATATCTACAATTTCCTAGTCTTTTTGACAGAAGAGTAACAATGGCGTTATTTTTTAAAAGAAAATTGTGGATTTTTAAAACATGAACAACTAAAAATTACCTTTTTTAAAAAAAACAACACAAGACACCCTTGTCTCCCACCAAGACTTTGCACAATGTCCCTGCTCCAGCTTGTCATGAACCAGCTCCTCATGACGCCCTGTCTCTCACCTCGTTCTCTTGGCTCCTGGGTCCCTCTGAGTTTCTATTGGCCAAAGGGGCGTTCTGCTCTGCGAGAAATTCAAGGCCGGGAGCTCTTTTACAGATTTTCCATTTTCCGGTGAATCTGTGACATTTAAGAAATGTGGCAAGTTAGCAAGTGTGTGTTTCCCCTTTTCAGGCAACAGTCTCTGACGAGGTCAGTAACAACTATCACCCTAGGAGGGGAGGGAGGGGAGGTGGAGAGGGGTGTCCTTCCTCTCATACCCCTGGGGGGGAAGGAGAAGGGATTTGGCACACCTTGTGCTGTATTTGGTGCTCATCTCTCTGAAAATTAGAAAGTTCATGGATCCATGCACATATACGTACACACATGGATATATAGAAGTGCATACATACATACATACATGGAAGAAAGACTATTGGAGATGAGATTGCAAACTTAGAAATCTAGTTAGTGTCTTAGATGGCAATGAAACCATAACCTATGGTGTTATTTTTCCTACAGGACAAACTCATTTGCCAGTTAATCTTTTTGGACTTTACAATGTCCACATCCTAGTCAATATTCCTGCAGAGTGCCTGATCACCCATAGGGGGTTGTTTGTCAGTGCTCTAGTGTGATTTCAAAGGGTGCCCATTTAGCAGATGAAACGGGGAATCTCCTCACCTCTTAGACCCAAATCACAAACCATGAACCCAGAGCGAAAGTGAGTCTGCTTTTATTTTTAGGGAATTAGGAAGTGACTTTATTTTATTTATTTTTTTAAAACTTTTTTAAAAAAATATATTTTATTGATTTTTTACAAAGAGGAAGGGAGAGAGATAGAGAGTTAGAAACATCGATGAGAGAGAAACATCGATCAGCTGCCTCCTGCACATCTCCCACTGGGGATGTGCCTGCAACCCAAGTACATGCCCTTGACCGGAATCGAACCTGGGACCTTTCAGTCCGCAGGCCGACGCTCTATCCACTGAGCCAAACCGGTTTCGGCGACTTTATTTTTTTTGTAAATCAAAATCAAAACTGCTTCACATGTTTTCTTTTGTCATGAGTTCATTTAGAACTGGGTTCATTTCTCCAGTTTTGTAGAAAAATAGACCAATCCATATGTCCCAGGAAGATGAGTAAGTCTCATGACTAACTCATATTCCTAAAATTATTTAAGACAAAGACATATGTTTTACTCCCAAAGCACAGCATTCCCACAGCAGGCTGATGCCAGGAGGCTGTTCGTCCGCTTCCTGTGGGCGGAGTGTAGGACACCATTTCTTCCCTTGGACTCTGGGTCAGGCATTGCTGAGCTGTCTTGGGGAGTTAACTCCCCGGGAGGGCGGAGGGGGGGAAGGGGCGGGGGCGAGGGTGAATGGAGGGAGTCACTTTAAAAATAAAACTGTGAGTCTGCTGAAAATTTCTGGTCTGGACATAAACGGCATCTTTGGGGCTGTTGCCGTCTACCCAGGCGTCAGCATTCTCCATTCGGCTTGGAGGCCACAAGTCCGAGGCTCTTTCCCCAGTGACTCTGTTTCCTTCTCCAGCCTCATCTCACACTCAGCCCCACACCCACCTTTTCTCCTGCTCAGAAAGGCCCACCCCTGACCCGAGGCAGCTGTATAGCTCCTCCCTCTGATTTCATGCTGTAACCCGTGCTGTCCAATGGGGCGGCCGCTAGCTATTACACACTTGAAACGAGGCTAGTGTGACTGAGGAAGTAGATTCTTCACTTTTAAAACTTAAATTAACTTAAATTTAAATATAAAAACTGGTACTCCAGTCAGTTATTGGAAAACTTTTAAGGATATTTGGAACATTCTGGGTATGTAAATCACTTTTCCGACTGTACATTTTATGAAATCTAAATCCCCATCAAGCCTTTCCAATGAAAATGAGAGGGGTGGTAAGTATAAACTACTGAACGGATTTCAAAGGCATAGTGCAAAAAAGAGTGCAAAACACCTCACTACTAATTTTTATATTGATTATTGACTATGTGATAAAATGATAATATTTTGGATGTATTGCATTAAGTAAAATGCATTGTTAAAATGAATTTAACCCATTTCTTTTTACTTTGTTAATGTTGTCACTGGAAAATTTAAAATGACATGTGGCTCACATTATATTTCTGTTAGACAGAGCTGCTTTACCTGTTTCTCCATCTGCACAGGCTTTGGGACTAGAAGAATCTGAACTCCAGTTCAAGCTGCAGCTCACTAGCTGTGTGCTTTGGGGTAAGTGTTTCAATCTCTCTGGGCCTCAGTTGCTCTTTTTTAAAAATCTGTAAAATGGGTATGGTAAGGATACCCTTGAAATGCCGGCCTGACATAGTAACTGTACCTGTAAGTGCTTCGCCAAGTTGGCTCCCATTGTCTCTCCGGCCATGTCCTTACTCATCCTTTAAGACTCACCTAAAATTTCATCTTCTTTGGGGGATCTTTCCTAATCCCACCAGAAGGGTCTAATTCTTTGCCTTTACCTCTCTTGTAACTTGGACACATTGCTTGCCATAAAGCGACATCATTCCAATCTTGTGAATTCCTCCAGGGCAGGAATTCTTTGTGTGTAAGTTTTTAACTTATGAAAAATTTCCAACAAAAGTTGGGAGAGTAATATAATGTACCTCCACGACTGTCGTGTTTCAGTCATTGTATTTCTCTTGCTGGCACGGTACTTGACCTGTGACTTTGTTAGTGTTTTTGGCAGATGGCAAATAACCACAAATTCTATGCTATTCCTCCCATCAAGCAGTAGAGTCAGTTTCTCCATTTGCTTTTATCTGGGCTGGTCCTGTGAGCTGCTTGGACCCAAAGAATGTGGTAGAAGTGACCGTGTAGGACCTCAGGCCAGGTCTCAAGGCCTGGTAGCTTCCGCTCTTGCTCTCTGGGAAGCCTGTTGCTATGTGAACAAGCTCAAGCTAGTCTGTTGGAGGATGAGGGACCATATGGAGCAGAGACAGGCAGTCCCAGCTGAGCTCCCTCTTGGGCCAACCAGCTCACTGGCCACCAAAGAGGCCTGCAAGGCTTTCCTTAATCTTCCAAACCCAGATAAGCCAAAGCCACTAGCTGACGGCAAAGGTCAAAGTGGCCCAGACAGAGGAGCCACCCTACCAACCCCCAGAATCATGAGAAACAATAAAACATTGTTTTGTCCCTGTGATTTGAGGGTGGTTTCTCATATAGCAGAAGGCTACCGGATAGAGTTTAAGTAAGGAGTTATTGATCGAGTTAATGAAGCCCCTGGATTTAAAACAGGGGTTGCCATACTGTCCGTCCAGTGGCAGCTGCCACCCGCCAGGGATGACACCAGCATGCTGCCCACTCAGCCATGTGAACCAGTCACAAGGAAAGGAGTCCATAGCTCTCATACTCCCATTTGTAAATGTTTCTGAACTTTATTCTGCTCAATGAACAGACTTTGAGCAGATACAACTGTGTGAAAACTGGATTAAAAGATTAAGGGTTCCTGCTGCAAACTCATCTCAAGGTATTAATCTCATGTATTTTCAGAACAGCAGAAACTCTGGTGACAGTGAAAAGACAGGACAGAGCCTTGTGTTCCCAGATGCCCCTAAACATGGATAGCTCCAAGCCTCCCTCCGGGGGTGTTTTGTTGAGTCCTAAAACCAAACGCCTTTTGCAAATTTATTGTATCATTTGGGTCAACACTTTCTCCTGAAAGATTCCCATCATCATATTGGGGGTATTCAAATTCTTTAGATAATGGTTTCAAAATGGTGGCCCTATCCTTGATCCTTTTCATTGCCTCTTAGGCTCCTTTCCTTCAATTAGGGCCCTTCAACCCTAACGATTCCAGCTGGATGCCAAGGAACAGCTGTGACAGCTGTCTCTGGTACTGACCTTCCAGGTGCCCAGCGTTTGACTCGGGAGTGTCTCTGGCTTTGCCTTTGCTTCTGCGTCTCACAGTGCGATTGAAGATGGAGTTTCTCTGAATTCGGTTGTAGTAACGGGGTTCTTTGTCTTGGATCAGGTCGGCCTGGGGCATTTTCTCTTCTTCTGAGAGTAACTCAGGTCTCACCTTGGCTGGTTCATTAGCAAGTTCCCAGAGGCCATCCGCTGATTTTTTCTGGGGCTTTTCCAAGTGGTCAGAGTCCTTGGTCTCCATGGAAATAGAGCTGGTTGTTTCTCAATAGAACGACGGGAGATCAATAAGCTCCCCAAACTTCACCAGTTTCGAGTCCTTTAGAATGGAAAGAGAACAGTTATTTTCAGTTAGGATCATCAGGTTAACCACTCCATTCAGGGCATGTTTTCCACTCCGATTCAAATTTGATGAAATTTGGGATAATCTGCACATCCTGGGGGCTGCGTCTTTGTCAATGAAAATTACAGTTTAAACCACTGCAATTTGGATGCATTCATGTATCATTTTATAATTGAGGCTTGTTTATTCTATTCATAGGATGCACTGTGGGGGAAAATGCTTAGAGTGGCTTGTAAAACTAATTTTCAAGTAAACATTTTCTGAATAATTCAAGAGAAAAGGAGTAGCAAAAAACAAGGAGGGGAACTCCAGGAAGCCAATGCCAGGGAAAGGAAGATGTGCAGACATGAAAGGAAAGAGTTCTGGGAAGAACAGAAAGGGCTGTCGGTGAGGGGCAGGTCTGCCACCCCAGTGGGCAAGAGGATGTGGTTACCGTAAAAGCAAAATTGTTCTTGGGCCACACAGTAGAATGAGAATGAGAGGTTTCTCTTCTGGCCAAATGACTGAGGGACCCCTTGCCCTGAGTTCAGATAGTGGCTGAGCGAACAGGCAGAGAGCACCCAGGAGGGAGGAGGTCAAGGTCATCACATATCTGCTCTCTGGAGCCTGGGGAGAGGATTGGCTGTGGACCACGGGAGAGAATTCAGAGCTGTCCAAAGGCGCAGTGGCTGCTTTGGGGGTCAGTGAATGTCCCATCACCAGAGGTGTCCAGACAGGGTCATGGGGAGTTTAGGATTTAATGATTATGACATCTCCTTCTCTCTCCTTTCCCTTGCTCTCTATGCCTCCCACCAGGGTTGCCTCTGATTCTGATACTGAGGCTGTTTTCAGCTGAGAGCTGGTCTGGGGGCAGCAAGTGGACAGGGGTCCTGTGCTGGGGTGGGGGGCGGGGCGGGCAATGTAGGAGTTAATTGTCGGTTGGGGCTGGTCTGTGGAGGTCCCTGAACTGGGTCAGGGAGTTCCTGCCACATCTTTGATGACCATGAGTGAGGAGGTGGCAGGATCCTGGAACTCTGGGCAGGCTGGGCTGAGGGGCTGAGGCCAGAAGGCAGGTATCACACGAGTATCATCCAGGTGTGGCAGGTGAGTGCCTAAGCCAGGGTGGAGGTGGGGCTGGGGACCTTGTGCCAGAGGAAAGACAGGATTGGTGAGTCACAGTGGTTTGTGGAGGAGCACGGAGGGGGCTGTCCCAACGTCGGGCGGTGGCCAGGATTACTGGGCAGGCCACTGCCACTCACTGCCAGTCAGGGAAGTGGGAGCAAAGCTGGCTTGGGGTTGGAGCGTGGGGGCGTGCAGGTGGAAAGCCTCCCAGCAGAGTCTGCAGTGGGAAGTCCTAGGCTGAAGCTGACTGACTGTTACAAACAGGGCAACTTCCTGCTCTGACCTCAGCATCTCGAAAACCTCCCTGAAGTAGCCACAAACATGGCTGCCTTTTGGCATTTAAGGTTATCATTACCATTATCATCACCATTTTGATTTTAGGCTGCTTTTTAACAAAAATTCAGGTATAAAAACAAAAACAAAAAATTAGGTATAATTTACACCCAGTAGAACTTGCCCTCATTAGTGTCCAGGTCTTTGAAATATGACAAACACATACAGTTCATGGAACCAGGACCACAGTCTAAATACAGGACATTCCTTCTCCCCTAAGTTCCTCAGTGCCCTGCTGTAGGCAGCCTTTCCCCCATCCCTTTGGTTGGCGTGATGTCTTTCAGATTCAGCCCAGTGTGTCGTGCTGATGGCCAGTGTTGACTGTGCGGTGCTATGAACTTATGGAGGCCTATGCAATATATTGTGAAGGGCACTGGGCTGGGAGTCAAGGGACTGGGTTTGAATCCCCATATTCTTCTGCCTGTAATCACTTATTTAACTTGAAGTCAGGGCCTCATTTTCAGCCCAGGAAACATGCGGGGGTGGGAGGGGGAGGGGGGGAGGGAGGGGTGGTGTCTCTGGGCTCCATAGCTCGCTCTCAAATTCTGTGATCAAAGGCAGCTCAGAGAGCCCACAGAGGGACTGTCTAGAGAGAGCCCTGGGGACTGCCCTCAAACCTTCTCTATCATTTTCTTTAAATGAGTGGGCTCTGAAACCTTGAGAAAATGTATTCCAAATCATACCATTTTAAAGGCCGTCTCTCTCTCTCTCACACACACACACACACACACACACACACACACACAGAATTTGTAAAACTCTCTGAAAAACAACTCTAATTCCACCTCAATTATTGCCTATTTCAGGCAAATGTGTTCTAAATCTGAGATATTTTTTGTAATTGCTCCATTTCTTCTATATCCATTAACTGCTGGAAGCCAGACAACCCTACCCCAAATCTCCTGATGTTTTTCTGAAACTCCTTGGGAGCTTTAAGCCCACGTGTTTCTGTTCCAGGTGCTTCAGGGTGGAAGTCCATAGAGTCAGCCTTGTGATTGGAAGGGGGAGAGGACTGATGGCAAAGTGGCCTCGGCATACCATTCATTCATTGGCTACTCACACAACAAGCTTGGCTGGCTTGTTGTCCATGTCTGTGTCCCACGTCTGCCCACATTCCCTCGTTAGGACACTCTGAAAGGGCAGGGCTTCGTCTGTTTTGTTCCCTGCATCCCTGGTGCCAGGCACACACAGCACTCTGTAAACGGATTCACTCCCAGAGCAGGTGTGACAATCACCCCCATCTTACAGATGAGGAAGTGGCGGGACCAGGAGCTCTGGTAACTTGCCCAGGATCACGCAGCTGGCAAAGGGTACAGCCAGAATCGCACCTCATTGGTCTGACTTGTTTATTGGGGGAAATTGAGACCCATAGGATGTGGTCAGGAGATGCTGTTATAAAAACTGGCTGAAGACTGCCTGGGTGCATCAGGCAGAAGCAGGGGTTCCAGGCTGCTTTCTCAGGCCTAGCCATGTGGCTTTGGGCATACGAGCCAGGAGTGACTATTAAACCTCCTGGGGCTGGGCTGAGGTCCATGGACCTCCCTGCATGAGTCAGTGGCAGTCTGGGAGGTCAGGACACATGAGAGAAGGTGGTAGGGAGGGGAGGGAAGCTGCCACAAACCCAGTTCTGGCAATCCAAGCCAGCTGCTTGGGGTGGGGGGACAGTGGCGTGGTGGGCACAGGGTGGTACGTGTCTTTAGGTAGGAGGTCCAGGGCAATGCGACTGTGGGGTATATTAGCCATCCAGGTGGGGGATGGGAGCATGGTCCAGAAATGTGGCCTGAAAGTCACCCTAGCTGTGGCTGTGACAACAGGAAGGGCTTGCATACCTCCATAGCAAGATGGGTCCCCTAAGAGGGAGGCAGGCCTGGATGATTCCAAGTCACCTGCATCATTTCAGCTTTCATTCCTGCTCCTAGCATTGGTACCTGAGACTCCTCCCAGGTAAATAGCAGTGTTTACCGAGGGCTATAAACAACAAAGGCTTTAAAAAAAAGGGTGGGGGGAGGAGCTGTAGAGGAGACATTTAGGTAGCAGAGGGGAAAAGAGATGAAGTTTCTGGTTTGGGAGAAAAGCCCCAGCGAGGACTGGAGCTCGGAGAGCTGCCCCGGAAGGTGCTCTGCTGTGGGGACGACCTGTGTTGTGAGAATCATGTGACCACTGGGCAAAAGGATGATAGCTGGTGCTGCTGGCCCAGAAATGCCCTGGGAACATTTTGGTGTTGTCAGCATGAACAAAAGAGGAAAGAAATGGGATACCCAAAGACAGGGAGAGAATCTCAAAAGAACCTGAAGTGGAAATTCGAAAATTGGGGAGCAAGGGTGGAGAGGGACAGGATAAAAATGGCAGCAGAAGGGGAATTCAGGGCAACCAGACCTCCGCTGGCTCTCAACATTGGGGTGAAACCCCACCTGCATCATGGCCATGTGGGGACAGCATTGGCTTCAGGAAAGAGGAAGAGGGGGTTCCCAGGCTGAGGGAAGGGGTGGGGGTTCTTGTAGAACCAAGACTGTGGCCGATTGCAGAAAGTGACCTGCTTGGTGCCTAAAGGGCTGGATGGAGATTCTCTTCCCAGTGAGCAGGAAAGAGGACTGTATAGAAATAACTGAGTGGGGAGGGGAGGAGGTGGAGTGAGTAAAAGGGGTGGGGTTTCTAGGTTCAGCAGGGAGCCTACAGAGAGGAAGTCTGAGCCAACGAGGCCTGAAGGAGGCCAGAGAGCCAGCCCAGGAGGCAAAGTTCCAAACTGATTTGTCTGTTGGCTTCTGTTCAAGAGGGAGAGAAGTAAACATGAGCTCAGACGGTTTTCCTTCAGGCTGTTGATACAGAGAAAGGAAGTGGGATCTGAGGGAGAAGTTGGGCCTGAGATCAGAGGGGGAGCGGCATTTGGCAGGAAGCTGGACTTGAAAATGGCCCATTGTGACAAGGTCTGAGCTAGCCAGCATGCAACCTGGAAGGCTGACTACTAATCACAGTAACAGCCCAAGGAGCACGGACTTGATAATAGTTTCTAATCCCAACAACATCTCTTTAGAGGTGAGAGCGCTCTGACACTATGAGATAGGGCCACGCAGCTGCTGAGATCCAGCTGGAGGAGTCCAGGCCTACAGACGCTGGAGCCCCCCTCTCCCCGACACATGGTGCCGCCAGCAGTTATACATCCTGGCAGGCTGGGTCAGACAGTGACAAAATTCATCCACCAGACGAAATAGACTGTGATCGATCAAGTGTGAACAGCCCCCTTTCCTGACGATGCAACAGAAATCGGTGAAATTAATTTTAAACCAGGGAACTAGACAGTGGTAGAGCGGGGCTGAGCACATTTCTTTTTTTCAGGAAAATATTCCGATGCCAGAGAGTGGCGGCATGCACACTACATTGATCTATTTATACATATAATTTGCAATAGGAAGAAAGCCTGTGGGGAAGGAAGAAATCAGATGCTCAAGGACCAAACTAGATATTCCTGTTGGCAAAATGGTCAGTGCCAAGCACAGGGAGAGGAGGGACCATGAGCGGAGCCTAAATCTCAGAAGGCAAAGCAC